ATTTTGACCAATATTAAGTTTATGCAAGTGATAAAGATTTCCTTCAATTGACATTAATAATCCACCAAATGATACAAAAACACCACTAAATATATGTAAAATGTAATTATTATCACCCTTTTCGAAATATGATAATAACAACTAAATAATAATAATAAAAATATTTACTTACATTCTTCCGGCTTGATATTCAACATATTTATAAACTTTACCATGCATAACATACTCATAATTATCGGATAAATCTGGTTCATTCAAACCTTTTCCTCGCCAAGAAACTCTTTGTGAACTATCTTCGCGTTCAATAACCATACCTTCATCTATTTTTTCAGAATTCATCATTAAACCTGTTGATAATAACAATTCTATCTTGTCACCAATATCCAAAGCATATAGATCTGTATTAACATCTAGTAATAATCCCACATCGCCTGATTCACTACGTCCTGTAAATCTTGATACTTTTTTATTTTCATACAAGGAGATTAATATTAATTTTGGTTGTTTGATCAAAAAAGAATGGGGAAAAACTAACCTCGATCAAATTTTTTACCATCCTTATCCATATCATTTATATTAAACTCTTCACTATATACAATATAACATTTTTTATTCATTATTAATATTTAATTATCTAGATTTTAGTTACACGAAACATTGATACTTCTTTTTCTCTTTATCTACTACATCCTTTCATATCTTCAATAATCAAATTATATAAAAAAAAGTAAATAATGCTTTCATCACGCCTTTGGGTATCCTCGCTTGAACCACATACAATAATAGATTCTTAGGCATATAAACATGTTATAATAAGTGAAGGTAGAAGTATAGGCGAGGAAGAAAGTGAATATGAATCGCAAGTATGTGGATACATTATTATTATATAAATAAGTTGTTGTAATTGTTTTTGCTAATTGATTTATTTATTTATTGAGCACACAACTAATATTATTATATTTAATATAAATAAAAAAAGAGTGATAAAAGATAGAGGAAAAAGATTACCTATTCCAGGAAAATATGGAATTAAAGCTGGTGAAGATGTTCCAGTATGTTATTTTTTCCTTGCTTTATTTAATTATAAATTCATCCATCTATACTTATTTATGCATAGTGTATTGTATATAGCGTGATAATGATGATGAATCTACATATGAGAAGAAGAAGAGGAAGAAGGTATCGAAGATGTAGTAATGAAGATGAAGAAGATTTAATAATGCATGGTATAGATTATGAGGATGAGGGTGAGGATGAAAAAATGGTTCAAGATATTATTTCAAAATAGCAGTCGCAACAACAGTCATAATAATGACAATAATAATGGTGATGATAATGTTGAAATTCATTTACCATCATCATAAATAATAAAATAATAATTTAGAAAATCTTTGCCATCACCACTGTTACTAAATAATACCATTTCATAATAATGAAGGGAATAGCAATTCAATTATTAGCTAATTAGCTAATCACTGTTATAATATCTGTTTTGGATATTTTCTAATTAAAGATGGTTAAATATCCATTTCCATCAATAATTTTTTTTGTAAAAAATGATAAATCATCATCATTGCAATATTTTTTTACTGCATATACATACATACAAATTGTTATAAATAAGGCTCTGAACAGAATGGATCAAAACCAGATCAGATCAAAGCTAGACCAGGTACATGATTCATAATAATAATTTATTATTATTATTATTTATACATAATATCTCAAACCAGATCTCAGACTTTAGATAAGTTCAGGTTCAATATTTAAAGAGCCAGATCAGATCAGATCCAATATTTTAAAGAACCAGATCAGATCAGCTCAAATAGATTTCAGGTCAGAACCTTAGGCACCTGACTGGAACTTTCCTGAATTGATAATTTCTTGTCATTTGGATTCAGTTAAATCAACATTCTTTCCAGGGGATAATAATATTGCTTTTTAATTTAAAATAGTATTTATTATTATTTGAGAGAATTTATTATTGTTGTTCATGAATCAAAGGACAAAATGGGTTACACTATTCAAATTTTATATGTGTAGTGGTTGGTGCAGTCAAATTTCATAGTAATAGTGATGCAATATGCAATATTCATAGCTGAACTTGTCTGATCTCCCCTTTATAGAAAAACCCTCATGTTAGTATCATCAAAAATACAATGATTTAAAAGATTTTAACTAAACCTTACCATACCCTCCATACATTTGAGTCTACTGGTAATTCGCTTATTGCAATGTTAAGTAATTGTGAAATAATCTCACATACATATTGATCCCTTGTTTATAGTAGGTTCCCCAGTTCTCATAAATAATTTCCATTTTGGTGATATCCAGATCTGTTTTAATGTCTCTAACATTTGATTTGTCAACTCTTGTAATTTTCCAAGTTCATCTAAAAATTCACCAAATCTTGCATCACCAAGTTTTTTGGAAGTTTTGCATAATCCCTCTTTTTCTTTTTGAACAAGTTCATCACAAGATGAATTATTGACTCATTTATTGGTATTAGAAATTTTTTACTTGGTTCCTGAAAATATCACAAAATTCTTTGATCATTTCTGTAAAAGGCAATGAGCTATCATCTAATATACCTGAACATAATAGGTGACCATAACTAAGATCTGATTTGGTATATTGTGGAATATTTTCAACAATGCTTTTGACATCTTGTTTAGATAGCAGTGAGTATAAATTTACAATATCACCCAATGGAAAATTTCTTCATTATCATCTCTGGCAGTGAAGTCTGGCTGGACCATACCATCAGAAAGAATATTACCTGCAGATGACTTTCACTAAAAGACAAATAAACTTGAAGAATTTTACAATACCAGAGCAATTAATTAACAGCAGTTTCAACTTTTTTATTTCCATGTCAGAGTTCATCCAAATTATTCCACTTACATAAAGTCTGGTGAAATCCTTGTTGTATCATTTGTGATTGATTTCCAACCTTTTGTGCATGACATATGGTAGCTCAGCCTAAAGAAAGTAATAAAAATCCTTGAAAGCAAATTTTGTGTATTTGGCATACTAAAATAAAAAAAATTCACATTAGCTTTTTTTCCATTATTATAATTATTATGATATATTAATATATATGAAGGACTTTTCAATAGAAACGGACCATGTTGTTTTGAGAAAATTAAAAAAGATCTGCAAATAATTTTAAAACTTTAATGGAAAAGTCAAAATTTTATTAAGTATATAGTTTCTACATCTTAATATAGCAATGATATTAACTCAAAGTTTCCTTTTCCCGTTTCTATTGAAAAGCCCCATATATCAATCAGTGACTATTTGTATAATCAGTTTCGCATAATTGATCATGCTGTTACAAATTACAATTTTTTTTGTTCTAGAGATTCGAGTCCTTCATCACCCACTTGTTTGGTTAAAAAGTAAGGATGCATGGGTTGAAAAGTGAAACCTTGGTCCATATTGATGTCTTTGGATTTTTCTACTATTTTAGATGGATCTACCATAGTCTCACATAAACATCGAAATTTGGGTGCCCCTACATATAACAACGAGTTTTCATATGCAGAGAATCACTGGGAGAAAATTCGACATTGGATTGAATGGGTGACAGGACAATTGTACATTATAGAACTTTTCATTATTTTGTGCAATATGGCATATTTGAAATCCTCTACAGAATGATTGTCATGGACCAGGGATTACATCATTCCTTTAATACAAGGCATTTTTAAGTTGGATGGCAATTTCATTGTACCATGGTAAGTTGACAAGTGGAAGATAACTCGTAGCACCGGCTAAACACTTATGTCAAATGATGATTTTTCCCTTGTTTTCAATATATTTAAGAGGAGAGATTTCTGCCCTGTAATGAGCAAAGTGAAGGAGTTTATATGACAGATGTAATTGTGGTTTTATTTAGAGCCTCTCTTGGAGATATACCCAATGGTCATATTTGTTTAAGCATGGAGGAATGTCAAAGCTTAACAAGTAAGGCTTGCAAAAATATTAGGAACGAATGGGCAAGAAGCCAGATGTTATGGTGCTAAAAAAGTATAAAAGAAGATAATTGAATTTTCATATGTAGAGTTCACGTGTCATTTGTACTACTACAAAAAAGCGGACGATGACGTAAAATTATGGAGAGAAGCATTGGATGGGCTAGTTTTGTAAACACTATCTGTAGACTGGTTAGTAATCAATTTGGGATCCAAATGGCTGGTGAGAGTGTATGTTTAAATGTGCCGATAAATAATCCAAGTAGAATCCTAAGATATTTTCATCTTGACCATGCAGAAATTCCTTTGACTTCAGATACACACCATGGCGCGTAAAATCTCTTGTGCACTTATTATTTACTCTTGGAAATATTTTAATTGTGAAAAGATTTTGATCATGCAAGCATTGGAGCAGGCTATTTCACATCATCTCGGAGTCCTACAGTTTCTTCACTACCCATATAATTAAATGTTGAGTAAGGATAGAAAAACATTATATACAGTTTAAGAAAAAAACGGCGGTGTCAAAAAATTGCATATCTCAATTACAAACATTCGGTTGAAAGTTTATCAAATTACTTTTGTTAAATAAAAAAAATAGACATGAAATGCTATTGCCAATTTTCTGTAAAGCTAATTCAAATTGGCGATTGTGAACATGAAAATCATTAATTTAGCAGAATCAAAATATCGAGAAGTCATTAATCATAAAAATATTTGTCAGAAGCAAAGGATTACAAACACCACTTATACAAGCCGTCCATTTAAAGAGAAAGTGTTCCAGTTTAATTTTTCTTACTTATTATTATAAACATAAACATAATATACATAAATTGTCCCATTATAAATAATAAATCTTGAAACTTAAAAAAAAAAGTACTCGCAGCAAATAATATTAAAAATATGAAAATAGGAAAAAATGTGAAATAATTATTACTAAAAAAATCATTTATATTTATTTATCTTATGTGCCTCTACGTGGTGGAGGAACATATATATGCCTTTCTTTATTACTATTTCGATCAATCTTAAGAGGCCTTGCACTACCACTACCACCACTGTTCCTCATATTACCACTTGATCCACCATGTTTAGGACTCATTTTATTAGGTTGACGGATAATGTGTGATGTTTTGGAATTTTGAGGCTGTATATTAGGTTTATCTCGAGATGTTTTTTGTATTTTATTTCTTGTTGGCAATGTTGTCACATCTGACTCGATGGATCTTTTAGTTTCTTTTGATGATTTAGTCGATGATGATGATGATGCTGTACTAGCCTGTGTTGATTTTTTCCAAGATAATGCAATTTTTTTGTAAAATCGATTTTTTGCTGGTTTCATCAATTCCTGATCAACAGATGATTTTAATGAAGGTCAATAATATATTAAATTATATTTTAAATCAAATTAACAAACATTACCTTGACCATCTCCAATATATTATTTGTCACCACCCGCTCACTTTCTGTCTTCTTTATTTTCTATATAATAATAATAATTATTATTATTAATTGATTAGTTTAAAAAAGTGAATGAATAAACAAGATATTAAATAACGAATAATTAATTAAACATACTTCCAAATTCTCTTGATCTTTTTGTTGTTGTTGTTTTTGTAAATCATTCATTGTATTTCTAATATGCTGAAGACATGTGATAGCAAAAGAATAAAGATAACGAAACCTATAATAAAACCCTCTTTAAATACTTCTAAAAGAATAATTTGTCTAATTTATTGAATAAAACAATTATAAACTAACCGCGAATTAATTTGTTCACCTTCAGCAACATCAGGAATCTACAATGCAAGCCATATAATTAATCAATTAAAAAAAAAACCACAAAAAGACTTCACATTAAATAAAAATAAATCAATACCTTTGAAGCAAAAACATATAAAGAGTATACAATAGATTCAGCTTTAGATAAGTTTAATTTTGGATCTTCTGCCATTGCCTCTTTGGGTGGAGCTGGTATCTCATTCTATAAAGAAATACAATAAGTTTCAATTTATTTAGAGGGTGATCAAAAATTAAGAAAATCTAATACACACAATAAATAGATCTTTAATCAGTGGGGCAGCTGCTTTCATGATTTCATCATCAAGACTTGTACTTGCACATTCAGCTAAATAGTGCAAAACAGTTATTTGTTGTTTCTCATTTAGTTTTGAATATGTTTGATAAGGTAAAATCTTTATCAATAATGATAAAAATTCTGTTCCGGATACACCATTCTATTCCATAAATTAATATATATTTTTTAGTTAACATAAGATTTAAAAAATAAATAATATAAACATGTTTAAATATCTTACCTCAAAAAGTTTAAGGATAGTTTTCCCACATAATACAAATTTTTGAAAAAAATTTTCATCATTAGGCTGTATAAATATTTTTATAAAAATTAATAGATTATATATGAATTTAATATTTAAAGTTTATATTACTTACATCAAATGTTTCTTTCTCAGTTACAATTGCATTTATCAATGATTTTGATAGATCTTGCAATTTACTTTTGTTATTTTCATAAACCTTTAAAGAAGATAACATGCTAATAAAGATTTCCAATTCAAAGAATTCAGCTTCATGAAGAACCTGAAGTTAAATGTGTGTATTTATGTGTGTGTATATGTGTGTGTGAAATTGATTTACTAACAGAATATGCTTAATATTTAATAATGATTTTGATGTTTTAATTTCTCTCCCTTACTTTTTGTATTTCATCTGCAAAAAATTGTTCCAAATCTTTATGTTGATCAAATAATTCATTTTTGAATTTGTTTAAATCTACTGATAAAAAATTAATTGTATGTTTTTTAACTTCTGTTGAACCAACAATTGCTTGTTGAATTATAAATCGCAATGATGCTTGTGGATCTATACGAATAACTTGTTCAATAGCCTTTTTAACCACTAATAATTCTTGTGAGCTTTCTATTAAATGTCAATAATTTAATTTATTTAGACTTATATTTTTAATATATACACTTTTATATAATCAAATTAATACCTGCCATTTTGAAGTAATTGTACAAGTGCGTCAGTTATTCTTAATGAATACTTCTTTGATTCTTTTACCACATTAGGCAAATGTTTTATAACAGTCAATCGAACCTTTTATATAAACAAATTTTTTTTAATAAAAAATATAGTACATGTATAAAAAAAAAAATTCTTACATTCAAATCTTGATCCTCACATAGATCAAATAAAGCGTCTATTGCAGTCTCATGAAAGTCTGGAAACTTTCCAAAAAAACGTGGAATGAATTGTGCTGCTAGTCGTTTGCAGTTACTTTCAGCATGTGCTGCAGCAATTAAAGCTTCATACGACCCTTTAACTTTGGCAAGCTATAAAAATTTTGATTGTTAATAAGCAAAAGTAACCTTTTTCAGTATTAAAAAGTAAGTATATAAATACCGATTCTTCATCATTTCCTGCTGCATCTATGTCTTCGTAAGCTTTATAGATTTTTTCAAGGCTAACACTACTCGTTTCACTCATTTTTGAGATAGGTATTAATATTCCAAATTCTAATAACAATCGAGTTACACAACATAATTGCTCTTAAAAATGAACATCGTTTCTAAAAATTTTTGGCCAGTACATGCATGCTTGTTCATTACATACTAAACTAGGATTCTTAGTCAGTTGTAATTTCCGTAATTTATTGCAGTAATATCTAACGCTAGTCTTGGAGATTTAAAACCACTTTATCTTATAGAATACCTCTTGCAACTTTTGCCACGACGTCAATTTTGAGAAAATATTAAATCTCAAAATGAGGTAATTAGGTTCTCTTTCAAGATGCCTATTAGTAATACAATTTTCTTATTCAAATGATTTGTAAATGGGATCCTAGATAATAAAAATCGTGCTTTGTGATGAATTTGATATGGGCCATCTTAAATTTTTACTAATAAAATTGTTTTTTGCATTATGAAATTTTCATATATGAGATAATATTAAATAATTAACATGTTATTTTTTTATATCATAAAAATTTTTATGTAACCTTATGTAATTTCTAATTTCTCATTGTAACACCAATGTTCACTTTGTCTGGTTTTGTTGCAGTATGCCCCATATTACAATTGGTGCCCAATATAATGAAGTTTTAACTAGCTACTTCTCTTTATTGGGCACCAAGTGTGCATTCGCATGG